TAGCTAACAACTTTTTTTACACGTTTATTAGTTCTTTTTCTGTTTTTGTTCACGTTTGCACCATAGTGTTTTGTATATTAATCAAGGCTAGGTGACCAGAACAAAAATATTGACTTTTAAATGAGGATATCCTCAACAGATCGGTTTAGGCAACAATTTATACTAGTTTAAAAGTAACTGGTTTGTTAGTAGTTACGTTTTTTTATATTTATTTTTTAGTTTAGCAGGACATTCTCAACTGGTTGTTTTAGGAAACAATTTGGACTAGTTTAAACGTAACTAGTTTGGGGGTAGTGACGTTTTTTTACATTTACTTTTTTTTAATTTTAAAGCAGGCATTCTCAACTGGTATTTTTTGGAAATAATTTGGTCTAGTTCAAAAGTAACTAGTTTGGGAGTAGTTACGTTTTTTAACATTTAATTACTCAACTTTACTATTAACGTACGCTAAGAAATCTTTTAAACTTGGAAGAAATTAAAATAAAATAAATCGGAACAGTTCGATAATAATTCTTTACAAGAACTTGCTTTTGTATGTTGCAGTGGTCCGATTTGGCTAAATCAACTCAGCTCATCACGCAGAACATATATATATAAAGAATCGCAAAAATCGCTTTTATTTGACCAAACTTCATTGGCGAATACCCAAAGCTAGTTTTTTCTACACTACGTAGGTAATATAAGATAAAGAGATGAGGATTCCACCGCGATCTAAGGTGTATTGTGCCCTTATGTTAAGAATATTGAGTGCTTTAGAATATTAATGCAATCCAGGGTTTTCATATTTCCAATAGATTTATGAAAAATACCTGGGTTATTGCCTTGAAAACAATCTTATAGCATAAGAAAGCCACTCCGACGTTTTAAGATTCATTGAATGTTGCATGAAGCAATACCATTATTTTTGTCGTATCAAGGCCAAACTCTTTTATTAGCTTCCACACCATCTATTAAGGCCTCTTCGGAACATGAAACCAGTTTCCGTTGTCCAACATCCCAACATCAAGTTGCTTAAGCGTGCAGTTCTGTTTTTAGCTGTAAAAATAATTTACCATAGTTTTTGACTACTGTTCCGGTATTTTTGAGTCGTCTTCGCACAATTTCGTTACAGAAATTAATATTTAGTGTCTCTTGAATAATTTATTTGGCTTCTACAGAATATTTTAAATCTCCCGACGACAATAATCGCTTTAAGGATATCTCCGCATATGGAGATAGCTTCTGTGATCTCTCACTTTTAATGTTTTTTTTTTCGGTAAATTTTCTTGTTTTTGAATTTTTGAAGAAATTGAAGCACTTTGTTACCTTCAGTCCACTTTTCTTCATTAAATTTTTTACTCATTGGTCTCTCAGGTAGATCAGGTATGCTTATAATATTCTCAGTTCCAACAGCCTTAGAAAGTAATATGAAGAACTTAATCTTAGAGTTAGCGAAATGAGCTAACCCAATTTTACAGTTGAGTTTTCTGATCTCTTGAATATACTCATATGCCTTTAAATTTTATATAAAAACTCCGAGCAACAGTATTTGTAATAACTCCGAAATCAAGGGGAACGATAAACATTCTTTAACTAGCGTAGTGTTGTGCACCATGAAGTGCTTGCTTTGGGTGAAGATATTCGGCGTAAACGTCGGAATTCGTAGTATGATTTTCACTGAAGTTTTGGACAAAAACTTTCGAAACTGGAAAACTTGTTTGGGTAACGTGCAACGAGCCCACTTCTTCTTCTTCGCCAGTCGTTTTCCCTTTCGCTGTTTGGAATGATGGAATCATAGGTAGAAGTACACGCAAGTGAGGAAATTTCTCCGCGCACCATTCACTTGGTAATGTCTCACGACTTCCGGTCTTAGACCAAGTATGCTTTGGTCATTCGTTTTAAGACGAACTCCACCCCATGGTTGCGCGCAGGGCTTGGGACCCGCCTCGTAGAAAACACCACCAATGAAAAGAAGACAACAACCTCAGGACGAGTCCACCGCAGCTATTAAGAGCCATGAAGCCACGAAAGGCCATCTCAGCCGAGGCTTAGAACAAGTGTAGGGAAAATTATATAGTTTAAGCGTTCACATGCTTACATTGGGTCAAAACAAGCCTACTTCGAAGGCAATAATAAAGCTTTATATTAAAATGCTTGAAAATGTTTATTGTTTTCTTATTTCTGTTCAAATTTAATAAAATGATGATTTGAGATATGTATGAAGAAAGGCTAGGTATGGAATGATTTCAAATGACTTTTTCCAAATTTCTATCTGGAGACGTTTTTAACAGACAAATTGTAGCACTAACCTCTTTGGAAGAAAGTTTAAAATTTAATTCGTTCTTTACTGTAAAGACTGGGCTCAAAAGCTGAACTGAGAACATTGTTTTGTAAAAAAAAAAATAATTTTTTTAATTATAAACAAATAGCATACTTCAAACAATTCACTTGTTTGCTACTTAAAATAAAGTTAACATTGTTTAACGAATTTATGCTTCACTACGTGTTCTTCCTTAGATCACTCTGGTAATAATTTTCATACAAAACAAAATTTGCATAGTCATAAAAAATATGTTGCAAAGCTGCACAAGTCCACAGCAACCATAAAAATACTATTCCTATATTTTATTTATTCTTTTCGTTTTTTGTTAACTGGTAACTCTAAACAAAAGAAAAAAAAAGCACGAAAGAAGCGCTAGCTAACTTCACCGCATTTGATTGTCTGCTTTGCCAGCGTTGATTGTGAGTTAATAGTTTCGCCAGCTAACTAAACATTTCTACACACCTCCACGCATTCACATACATAGATATATATGGCTAAGTGTACACAAAGTGCGTATGTGTGTAAATACACATTGCATTGTCTTCATCACACCGTATGCGCCGGTTGTTATGCAATAAAAATGTTTAAGGAAATCATAAAAAGTGGACGAAAGTTGCAAGCGGCAAACACACGTACAAGCAATTACACAATTACATATGCAGCTGCAGAAATACATACATACACGCATATGTTGCGTTTATTAGTATGCGCGTTTGAAGCGAGCAGCTTGCAGTTGTGGTTTATATGTGTGTGTGTTGGCGCCACAACTACTTTATTCTAGTGCAATTCAATCGTACAATAAACAACTTTTCCACACATACATACATGCATGCATACATTTATAGACATTTTATTATTTTACTACACGATTTTGTTAGCAATTTTATGATTTTATTTCCATTTTTATTTCAACAACTTTTTTCTTAGTTTCCTTTACATTGCTTCGCACAACTCCCCAGTTAAATAATAGTTTGGTGTGTGAATCTTTGTGCGAATACAGTAAGCATGGTTGTATGGCTTTTGCAGCTGCTACTGCCGCTGGCTGCGCGCCTTAAAGTGCGCAACAATAAAAATGGTAACATGTTAACTGGGATTTGTTTATGCCTTTCTCTGTAGTCTCTTAACTGTTTCATTGCCTTTATATGGCACTCTATGCAAAATTGTTGTTTGATGCATGCTTTGCTATTTGAAATTAGTTTGGTTAAATGAGTGTGAAGTAGTAGCTGCAGAAACAGTGTGGTGAAAATAATAAAATGTATATGGGGTTTATATAGTTATAATACATTGGGCAAAGACATGTAATAAATGCAAGCGATACAAACTTATATATTATAAAAAATATCATTAAAAGTGTCTGGCTGATTCCAACAAGTTTGCTTCAAACACAAAAACTGACTTTGTTTCTATAGACTATAGAAAAACTTTTATCGGAAACTGGTTGAGTTTTCAGTTAAATTAATAAAACCGACTCACAAAAATTATGGAAAGTCATCTTAAGATAGAAAAATGTATGTTTCCTAATAAAAAAATTTTTAGTAAAATTTTTTTTAATATAAGGAAACGTTGCCTACATCTAGGCGAACCTATTAAATATTAAATTTATATAATATCTAAGGACACTTCTTAGCGAAATGATTACATATTAACTATTTACATCTCGCTACAACTCTCTACTCTTACTCTTTTCTAAATAATAAGCATTTATGATTTTCCAAACAAGTGATAAGGCGTAGTTACTATACATATGTATATTAAATTTTGTATACCCTATTTTGTATATACTAACTAATGCTTAATATTTAAACGACTTCGTACGACGCCATTACTCATTTGGTATTCGAAGAATTCAGCATAAAATTTATATAACAGATGATATAAGTGGAGAAAGCCTCGTAATAATTTCACTTTAATAAAAATATGAAAATTGTAACAAATGCACATACTAAAATTTCGTTGCCTACATTTTGGCGTAAATTTATAAAATTCAAGATTTATTTATTGCAATAGTAAAAATAGACAAAACAAGTAAGGACGGGCTAAGTTCGGGTGTCACCGAACATTTTATACTCTCTCATCAAATACCGTATTTGTGTAAAGTTTTATTCCACTATCATCATTGGTATATGTATATACATATTATACAGAGAAGGCATCAGATGGAATTCAAAATAGCATTATATTGGAAGAAGGCGTGGTTGTGAACCGATTTTACCCATATTTCGTATATGTCATCAGGGTGTTAAGAAAATATTACATACCGAATTTTATTGAAATCGGTTGAGTAGTTCCTGAGATATGGTTTTTTGTCCATAAGTGGGCGACGCCACGCCCCCTTTCAATGTTTAAAAAAAGCCTGCGTTCCTTCTGACATTTCTTCCGTAAAATTTAGTGTTTCTGACGTTTTTTGTTAGTCGGTTAGCGCACTCTTTCAGTTTTAGGACTTACAAACAACCGTTATGTGAAGAAAACTATAATACTCTCTTTAGCAACTTTGTTGCGGGAGTATAAAAATAAATATGTGTCAAGTTTCTATCGAAACAGTTTCCCATCGTTGGCATATTTTGGCGAAATTGTTCTACAACGCTATTCAGAGTGGGTTAGATATGAACATTTAGAATATAAAAAATTGCTGTTGTGAAAGTTACTGCTCGGAATTTTTTAAAACCTGTTTTCGTAAATAAATTTAGAAAATACTTACGTTTAGCTGATAAGAAGAATCTTCTAGCCAGCCAGCTGCCAATAGTAATGTTTTCAGACAACAGTTAGTACGGTCAATCTGTAAAGCAAGTAAAAAAAACAGATTGAGTTCAAAGTATAAATGATTAGTTTTTTGTTTTGTGAGACGACACAATCTCATTTTCTTATATTTATTAATTTTAATAAAAGGGCGGCAAATATCATTTTGTTTTCACGGTTTTAACTAACATAAACTTTAAGAAATTTTAGTCAGTGGTCTTTTACAAGAAACATATTACATTAATTAAGTTAAAAGTGACAAACTAAAATATTCGCTTATAAAAAATTTTGAAGTAAACAAAAAAAATTCTTTAATAATGAGATATATTTTGAGTATAATTATAAGTATGTATTACAGCTTTTTATGACTTTATTAATAAACTATAGAATTTATTTGCACCACCGCTTTCAATGTTTTTGTATATTTTCAGTATATTCCATACAGCATGAACATTTGAAGCGGTCATTTGAGTTTGTTGAATAGCCAGAAGTCCCACGGAGCTGCGAATGCGATGGCTGCGGCAAGATATAAGTTAAAGATTTGCTAAAACACTCACGAGGAATCAATACTGCATTGATAGTGCATTATCGTGCTCAAAAACCAAAAATTATCGGTCCATAATTTCAGCCTTTTTTTTATGTTTATCTTCACGCAAACGACCCATAATGTCAATATAGTAGTCCTTTTTGACAGTTTGGCCACACATCGATAATCGAAGAAAACTGTCAACATAGCTTGATTTTTGACCTGCTTTGAAGTGACTTTTCCGGCTTTGGCTCACCTTTCCCACGACCAATTGGTTGTCTGTTTTACGATTGCAAGCATAAATCCAAGACTCATCGCTAGTAATAATACGTTTCATGAGATCCTGGTAGTTGGTACTATTGTTTCACACAAGTTAAGACGACGCTATTTTTCGAGTGATTTTGGAACCACTTTACTTAGGCCCAAATAATATTTCAAATAATAATAAATGGTTTTCACTGATTCTTTCCATATACCAACGATGTCAGTTAGATCTCTGACTGTTATTCGTTGATTCTCAAATACCAGTTCCTTTATTTTATTGACGTGTTGTTCATAAGTTGATGTTGATTTCCATCCTGTACGCGTTCCCGACCTTCTTTGAATAATTGTCGAAATTAAAAACACTTACTCGCGACAAACTATTTTCACCAAAAACCTCTTCCAACATTATGAACGTTTCGGCATTGCACTTTATGGACCTTAGAATGACTAGCGTTACTAAACACTAATAATTATTTTGATGCGACATTTGGCACACATGTCACTGACAGTCATACCAATTTAGAAATAAAAATATTTTAACAAATGTTTTCTTCAGCGAAATTTCAAATTAAAAAGTATTACTATTTTTTCCCCACATAAGTATATTAATGAAAAATCAATGTACTCGTAAGACGAAATAAGCATTATTATAAAAATATATGCATAAGATAATAAAAAAAAGTGAAAAAACAGAAAAAGTTAATTTTAAAAAAATTCAAAAATGTATTAAACTTTTAACTCAAACATGGAGAGAAAATTTGGACAACGAAATATTTAAGATTTATAAATGTTGCGAGTCAAAAAGGCGAGAACAAGATCAATATAAATGGCAGAGTCTCACAATATACACCCTGTCCAGAAAGTAACGAGAATTCTTCGTTTAAATCAGCGACTGACATAAACAGCAGCTGTCAACACACTGGTTGACAGATCGCGCTAATTTTTGGTATCATAATTAAAGACAGTACCAACCTAGGAAAAAAAAAATTATTTCTCTACCATATAAGCCGGAGATGAGAGGAAGAAATCAAGAATTCCCGATACTTTCTTGATGTATATATACATATATACAAAAATATATTAGATGCTTAAAAATAATTGAATGAAGAACTAAACTAAATTATAGTATATAAACAAAGTAGAGATTTAAACAATAGTTTAATATAAAATTAAATATAGTATGGACAATAAAAAATTTAACAGAAATACAAATATGCACATTACACTTTTTTGCTTAAAGTAATTCTTTTATTTTTCTTCAAAACAGATGTATCAATGTAAATATATATAGCATCAGGCTAAAAAATATGTTATTTTTATTGCCATCAAAGTAAATACGTTTTCAAGTGGCTCAAAGTGGTTGTGAAATTGTAAAAATTCTTATCAAAATAAATCAACAAACTTAAAAAAAATAAAAAATCTTAAGTCATTTTTTATTGTCAAAAGGTATAAATTAATTTTAAGATATGAATCGCTGAACACATTTTGCTGCCTTAGACATATGTTTTTGTTAGTTAGACTGTGCTTTCGTAGAAGAAATTGTAGTTCATTTGTTGGCCAATTACACTAGGTTACACTCATTTTAGAACAGTGATCTTAGAGACTGTTTCTTGCTAATTTTTTGTTGCTATAACCGCAAATGATGGTAAACATTTCCTAAGATGTTTTTTGGTACTATTCTGATTTCATCAAATGATTTTTTGAAAACCCTTTAATAGCACTTTGAGGTACCTCATGAAAACAATGCAGACTCTAGGTAAGTAATCCTCTTCCTTCCCGTTTAGCGACTGAATTATTAAAGGCAATAACGCGCACGCTGCTTACAGCGTTTCTTCCAAATAATACATATATATATAATATTACAACCATATACTTATAAAGTATTCACCACCTCCATATGCCCAGCAGGCATAGTCAAATGCGGCTATAGAACAAAATGTAAATATGCTCAGCCGCAGCAGACCCGAGAAAAATCAATGGAATCCAAAAAGTTTGTCAGTTTGCGTTTTGTTTGCTTTGACTGTTCGTTATTGGCTAACTCTTCAATGGTTATGATATAATTCTGAACATTTGTGCCACAATGCAGTAAATTAAAACAATATTGTCGTGGTAGACAAATACGCACGAGAGTGTAAATTTCGCACACTTGGCATTGTTATATAAGAGTGTGGCACAGCAGCCACATCAAATATATTGCATTTAATAAGCAGCATGACAAAAGGGTTAAATGGCATAATTGTGGAGGATTGGGGGTGGATGGGAGTAAACTTTTTTATGAGTTTAAATTTTGCGACGTTGCGAAATTTAATAAAAAATAACATATATCTATATGCAATGGTTTGGAGTTTCAGTGGACGCACGTCTTGTCAAAAAGACAAAAAAAAATCCCTTTAGATGAGACATACAATTTGCTTCGTATTTATTTGGTTCAAATAATAAAGCAGATAACGCCTTTAAAGTAGTTGATCTGACAATTTTGGTACAAAATAAAAAATATATATATATATATATGTATGTATATATATATTAAGGTGATTCAAAAATAAAATTTTTTCTTTCGTTTGGTACTCTGAAAATAGGTTCCTAAACACCTCTAAGGAAACCTCTCCAAGAATGAGTTCTTAATTGTAACGGGAAGGTCCTCCTACTTACAATTTTCTATTTTCTCTTATTATCATATAGAAAACTTTATATCTCGGTTCCAACTGCTTGAAAAACTATCTCCCTAGATATTGTAGGAAATTGAATGCTCTACAAAAAAGGCCTGTTCGATTTTGTCGTAAACGAAACCGTTTAAAAGATATTAACAGTTAAAGTTTGATTATTTTTGGGAAAAGGTTTTATTTCTTATGAATTTTATAACTCAATGAACTAAATTATTATGAATGATGAAACTCATAGGTTTTTGGAGAGGCTTTCTGAGAGGTGCCTAGGAACCTATTTTTCANAATTTTATAACTCAATGAACTAAATTATTATGAATGATGAAACTCATAGGTTTTTGGAGAGGCTTTCTGAGAGGTGCCTAGGAACCTATTTTTCAGAGTACCAAACGAAAAAAAAAAAAAATTTTTTTTTTGATTCACCCTAATATACTTATATAGTATATATAAATGTCCTCACGCGTACTGGGGTAGACTCATTGGTTACCGCCAACACGGTGGACGAGTGTGTCGAACTCTCGGAAATCAGGGCGTCTTGCAGACGTTTATTTAACAAGGAATGTAGGAGTGGGTGAACTGACGACTGGGTGTTGTATGCAGCGGGATGGGGGAAACAATTCCGTGATAAAGAAGGCAAAGAGGACTTCATGGAAAAGCTCTGCGAAAAAGTGGAGGGCTGTTATGAGTCCTATTGATTACGGCGTATACTTGCAAACAAGACCGCTTCCGTGGGTTCTTTTAAGGACGCAGTGAATATACACTGCAATACGTCCTCTAGGGGATATCTGTCGGAGTGCTGCAAGATAATTGCGCAGTCTTTGGCCACCTTCTGTATGAGCGACACTTGGCTTGTGCGATCACATCGTTCAAAACCTTCAAGTCACTGGGTCCGGGCGCTCAGATGTCATGCCGCTGGTTGGCACCTATCTATGTGAACTACAGGAGACTGGGATACATTCCGGGGGCCTGGAAACGAGTCAGAGTTACGTTCATCTCGAAGGCTCCCACGTTACAGCCACGGACGTTAGACCCATCAGCCTCTCTTTCTTCTTACTAAAAACTCTGGCGAGCCTGTGCTAACTGTAAAGGTCAATGCATACTGCCCTACATATCAGGGTTAAAGAATTTGCTGTTGGAACCTTATTGATATGGAGGAAACTTTCAACAACGTGCTGCCGGAAACAGTTCTCTGGACGGTCTTGCTTCAAACATTTCTTTTTCAGTCTTCTGTGCGGCAGAGTGATTGAAATGGAATGGAGATCTCTCTCCTCTACTAAAGATCCTGGTCATAAATGACCGGCTTAAAAAACTCGAGGATCGTGACTGTCGAGTAATTACTTATCACTGTCAACCGAACTCGGTTTTATTTATTAGAATATACAAGATCCCGGCGACACCGCTGCCGCAAATGAATCTCATCCGTGTGCAGCCGACGGATACAGTAGGATATCTAGGCCTCATACTGAATAGGAAGCTTTCATGGAAGCCGAATATCGAAGAGAAAGCAAAAGAGGCATCGATTGGATTAATGGATCGATTGGAAAGATGGGTTCTCTCAACGAAAGTAATCCCTTGGTTCTACGACAC